ACAAGCTGTTTTAGTTAACTATGTTTGTATTCTCCTCCTGCTTGTGGGTACCCATGCAAGGCTTTCGGCCATTATGTGGTGTTTTTTCAGGCTCACTTTAACTTGAGTCAGAAAAAGAAGATTTTTCTCGTGGTAAAAGTAGTTGTAAGCAGCAAAAGTCAGTTTGAAGGGCACATTTCAGTCCCAGCATTATGGCTGTGTGCTGGGAGGAGATCCACAGCCAGTGGAAGTGAAGGGAAGGACTCCTCCCAAATGGCATCAGAAGATGGGAGGAGATCCACAGCCAGTGGAAGTGAAGGACTCCTCCCAAATGGCATCAGAAGAGAAATAGAAGACAGAGAAGACGAGAGGGAAAAAGTGGAACATCAGAAGACCAAGAAGACTGTTTCCTGGCTTGAGAACAAAGACTTACTGTTAAACCACAGGCAGGGCTTGAAGGTCCAGAACTTCAAAGGTGTTTAGAAGCCTCAAACTCATTTTGTTTAGTGGCTCTGGGTCCTCTGACCTTTTCTAACTTGGTTGCCTTGCTTGTTAAAAAGGATGCTAACACAGCTTTGCAGGGCTTGCAAAGCTAAATTCACTGAGGTTTGTGTGGGAAGTGCGGGAGGAGAACCTTAAAGATGTTAAAGAAAGGAAAAGAAGGAAAACATAGGACACACTGCCCCTGCAACATTCAAAGCAGGCACCAAGAGAAAGCATTCAGTGGAGTTAGTTACAGCACAGAAGGCCTTTGCCCAGAGCCAGAGCTTGAGGAGAATGAAAACCAGCTGAAGCACCTGGACATCTCCTTTGTTCTGAACCAGCAGTACAGGCTGCACAGGGACATGGCAGGGATTTGGAAGTTCGTTTTCTGCATCCAAACATCATGTCAGGATGAAATGCAATACATCCTGCTATCATTTAATGAGCACCCCTGGGACCACTGTACCTTGGAGGCATGATGGCACACGTCAGCAGAGAGATTATTTGTTTTGAAGCTTGTGAATAGCTCTGAGACTTCATTTCAAAGTGCTCCACGCAGAGTCATGACTCAAGCCCTTCTGGTCTCACAGAAGGGCACAACTGACTGCAGTTTCCCTGTGCTGTTCCTGAGCATCCTGTAAGGGATTATTAGATATTTAATTTTATCCTTTCTTATGTAGGAATGGCTTTGTCATTGCTTCAATTCCTTCATGACACATTTTCTTAAGTGTCGTATCAATGATGTCTCTACTGAGACAAGCAGAGACAGCCACAGCAAAAAGCACAGCAACAAAACCCCAGGCATTCATTCCATTTCAAGTGATTTTTAATTTATAGATAGCCATTTTGAAAGTCGTAGCATGAAAGCCATCTGCAGGCCTGTGAGAAGGTAGTTGTACATAACACGTCTGGTTTCTCCTTTTGTAAGAAGCAGCAATTATTACTCAGAATTTTATACCTATCCCTTGAAGGGACCAAAATATTAATCTGGGGCAAAATACTCATCCAGGGCAATTTGCTGAGGAGCTAACATGTTTTTTATGAGATCATAATGGTTCAGACTCACCTGGAAGCAACTAAAGTGATACCCAGGTTTAGCAGCAGTATTACCTGTTTGAAAATACCTAGCATGGAAAATAGAGCCAGTCTTTCTGAATGGGTCATTTCATGCTGACTTGCTGAACCATATTCAGTTTTAAAACACAAAGCTTTAAGATTAAAACCCTGGAGGTGCATAAAGGACCTCTCCTCCCCATCATGTCTCTATTGGAATTTACCCTTGCATTAGCATTAAAGCAAGAACAGATGAAAAGTGCAGACACTGTATAAGACTGCCAGCCTGTCTGAAACTGGGAATAACTTCAGTCATACTCTTACAGTTTATTCCAGTGTTCCCCTTCCACGGTGAAGGACCATCAGTAAAGCCATGGTTTCTGTCCAAGCACAGCTCCATCACTGAGTGACAGTTCGAAAAGCAGAGGAAGATACTAAACTGGAAAGAGTTCAGAGCACAGGGCATGTGATGTTGCTACGTCATCTTGGAGAAGAACGGAAGGGGATCTGGACTACCTGAAGAACCTGCAATGGGATCCAAAGACATCTGGATCCTGGAGTGATTCGAGCTCCAGGAGCTCTACCTGCAGCACATTAGAGCTGTTACTGCTCCACAGCAAGGTCCTTCCTGCTGCATGGGCAGGAGCCACCCCCACTGAACCTGCACAGCCCCACTCTGCACAGCAAGCTCAAGAGATGCAGCTTGTAGAGAGCAGCTCAGTGGGAAGAGCTCTTGGGTGAGGACCAGGCATGGTGGTTCCAGACTTTAATTATAATCTGTCCCTGGCAACAGCAAGATTTAAATGCACAACAGAATGAAGAGAGCTGCATTCAGTGGCTGCAAATCAGTGTTTTATGTTAAGTGAAATTACTGTACACCAATATGGACATAAATCTGGCTGATACAGAGGGTTGATTAGCACAGCTCTACACTCCAAGTAATGGCATTAAAGATGCAGTGTGAATTTCAGGGAATTAATCATATTGATCGCATCTTTTCAATGATTATGCATAAGGCATTTTTATAGCTGATTAAATGAACTGCTTTTACCATTCATTAATATAACCCAGAATACTGACTATGCTTATGAAGAAGTATTTTTACCCCCTTTCTGCAGACATTCTCTGGACCCATATGCTATTACTTTTCATTTCCTATCCTCACTGCAGCAGGTAAGTGGAGATTTTGATGGTTATGATGCAGCTTCCCTCTAATGGGAGCCAGAGCAGCTTTTCCTTGAACTATGCACAAGAGCCTGCATGCAATCGACGAGATTAACACCAGGTGGCAAATTACAGCTGATTACAATAGGTGCATGTATAGGGAAACACAAGGTAATATTGCCAGGAAAACAACGTATCCGGCAGCCAACTCTCCCTCTCCTTGCACATTCCCTTTGAAAATAGGATATTTGTTTTCTTCAGCCTTCAATGGAAATATGCCTGCTCCTTCAGTATCTACCATAGGACCCTGGGAAGATCGACAAGGACCCCATGCCCTCAGTCCTACAGTTGTCAGTGAGACAGGGGCATCGTCTGGGCACTCCTAGGCAGGATCTGAGCCCCGCAGCCTTAGGCAATATACACACATCGATGAGCTAAAGGAAATGACAAAAGGAAGTTGCTGCCCGAACAGCACATAGCCCAAATTCTGTGTAGGAAGGGAGAGCACACAAACCGGGTAAGGGCAGCACTGGCAGAAAGGCATCACACAACCACGAACAGCAGAGTGAGCTACAAATAGCGGTGGGCCCTGAGTCTCATTGGCTTGGAGATGAAGAACACAGAAGCAGGTAACACCTGGAGAGGTCACCTGTTCCTTTCTTACCTGCTTTAAGGCTCCTACCGCTTCAGTCCCTGAACTGCTCCATCATCCACCTCTCTCCTGCTTGAGCTTCTTCAGGAATGGTTCAGAATGTCTCTAAAGTCAAGTGTGTCTGCACTGATAGCAGTTGGCAGTTCTTTCGGAGCTTTTGGAGTGCCTTTGGGAAGGGTGACAGGATATTCTTCTACTCCTTCAGAGGAATACAGCGTGGCACTGCTTTCAGCTGTGAAGAGACTCGTCCGAGGGCACACAAGGGTTTGATGGGCTTGCCAAGGGCAGGCCACACGCACACACAGGGGCTTGCCAGCCACATACCACCTTTCATCCACCTGCCAGTCCAACCCCCTCAATGCTTCCCTTCCCCAGACAGCAAATATCTTAGTTCTTGTTAAAGGAATTTCATGTATCTGTTAGTCTGCAAACTACGAAGTAAAGAGATTTTTCAAATGAAATGGCTAGGACTTTGACACTTCTTAAAATATACATTTTATTATTTTCTGGTGTTTGCTATGAAGGTTTCATTCAAATTGTGAAGGTACACAGCCTTTACAAACTTTGAGTTGAAGGTTTTTCTTGGTGGTTTCATGTTCTGTTTCTCTCATGGCAGAAGGAAATACATAGGCTATAAAATGTTGAAATTCATTAGATGTTTAGTATTACCTCTTCATATGTGCTGTGGAATGCTCTGTAGAAATACTGTATAAAATAAGGCAGACTTTGACAGGGAATTCAGTCGTAAAATTTCATGGGAGAAAACAAAAAGTTCCAACATGATTGTTTTTGTAGCCAAGGGAAGACCAGGTGGTCGTCACTGGTGTGTGGGAGAACTACTGCAGCTCGGTGCTCAGACAGGATACGTTTCTTGTTTGTTGAACTATTCTCAAGTGAGACCTTTTCAATAAAACTTATTTTAATTAACATAAATCAGACAATATTTAAACATACACATCTATCCTTACAGTGCAATAAAAATGTATCATTGTATAGTATTTTGTATTTGCATTATGAAAATAAAAGGTCTGTACATCAATTAAATGTATATTAATGAGTATGAATCATGTAAATTTGTAATGCATCTAAAGTTGGCTTTGGCTTTTAAGTATTTATAAATTCATAGAAAATATTGAACATCTAACAAAATAAATAAAACATATCATTTTAATCATAGATGCTAACGATCAACCTCAAAAATTCTCGTGTTATTTTTTACATTTGCTACTAAATTTCTTAAAGAGAACTCACTTTCAGTAGTGCTCAGAAGTGAATGATTGCACCTTCTGTGATGTGAAAAAATAGAGTACATCTATTTTTCATAGATCAAAAATTCCTTCATAGAGAGTTGCATTTTAAATGTCTGATTGTTCTACGTAACTGTCTTAAGTGCTTACAAAAAGCATGTAGCTTTCTCATAAAAGCTGTGAGTCTCTATTAATAGGTATTTCTTTTTCACTTGCAGGATTGAGGATTAAGCAAAATCTTCTAGTGAATGTCCTTTTTAGGAGGATTCTTAAGGTCTTCCAGCTTCACACATTGGTATGAAGATATTGCGAAAACACGTTCACTACTAAACCCTCCTCAGTACAAGTACTGCAGCGATCCAGTGTAATCCCACTTGGTAGGCTTGTTTCATGGGAGTCCACGCATGGTAGTTTGTGGAAGTCAACTGCTGACCTCATGTTCTCTTGAATTTGAAAGTTCCCCAAGCGCATGGGCTACCCTTACTGTAATACTGAAGAGACCAAAACAAATCTGAAATCACATGAATAAAAGTGAGCTTGAATAAATATGCATCTGGTTAGTAAATTACACACCACGGTCTAAATGCTATTCTGGTGGCGGTCGAAGGCTCCGCAGCTTCCTTTCATCTAGTCCTTTCCAGTATTTAAAGTTATTATCCAGATGCTGCATCAAATTTGGCAGGTCTGCAAATGCTAGGGAAGAAAGAGCAGAGCGTATTTAGTGTGCAGAACTGAAACAGTCACATGATTCTGTCTGCTTAAATATCACTTGAAATGTCTGGGCAACTGCATTCTTCAATCTGTTGTACTGATACTTGAAATTATGTTGGCTGCGTAGCTCTCATCACTCAGGCCACTGAGAACAGTTCTGTGAGTCTACTTAATACTGGTATTGCAAGTCCCAGCAGACAGGCCAAGCTTTCCAGGAGGGACATAGCTAATTATGCTTGTAATTATTCTACTTCATCAAATCTCAGTCACATGTCATGATCTGGCATTCGGGAGAGTCACATTTCTGACCATTTTTACCATGGAGGCAACACTTGGAAGGAAACAGCTGCTCCCCCAAGCAGTTTCCAGACTGCAGAAATTTGTCTTGAAGAATAACTGATACTAACATGGACAAAATGACTGTGCCCAAAGTGCTACCAAGGAGAATAAGTTCCGTTCTCCATTTACAGAGAAGCAAGTTTAAAATGAAGAAAGTTAAACATTGTCTGAATCTAATATATTAAAGAAAAGTCATGAGAATGGCTTGTCACAGTGTCAAAATTCTTCTAAGCAATAATGAAGTTACCAAGTTTACTTGAACTACAGAAGTCTTCTCTTTTCTCCCCTTTTCTTTACAAGCCATAAGAAAGCACTTTTATATCACAGCAGTTTCAAATGTTCACCAACTAGTTATTGTCAGGAAATACAGCAGAGTTTTGCTTACCATCCCAGGCATCAAACATATCAGTAATGAAGTAATCAATGAATGATATTTGGGATTTGGGGATGCTGCAGGTATTTCTGTCAAAAACTGGCATCACGACAGGTAAACCTTGCCTCTTTTCTTCATCAGTCTGCAAAGAACACTCATGTGATTATTCATGTAAGACACGTCCTGATTGTTTGGCTCCGACTAGAGCATGCAACTACTAAACAGCAGTTTATCCAGAGGAACCAGAATACATCTGAAGCAGCAGCAATTTAATTTTAAGCACCCAGTCATCTAGGTTTCAGCAAAACAGCAGACGAATAGTGCCTTCCAGTGTTTCCCACAAAGTGATACATTTACTTCTGCATCCACGGACAAAGCTGACCCTAATAAAGTTACGACTGTTTTGGAGCTAAAAGACGCTCAGCCACTTTCAGTCCCTGATGGAAGCAACATTCTGTACAACTCAGAGGTGGCAAAATATCTTTTATGATCCTCTTTTTTCCCCCCCTTTAGGAACCACTCCCAATTGCAGTATTTGGTCAATCATCTGTAATGATGACTCTGCCTTCTCCTTTTCCTCATCTTCCTAAAACCTTGCTAAGGTCTCACAGCATTTCTTGGAGCGAGTGCTGTTCCCTGGCTAACAGGAGGACCTGATGGTCCTGTTCTTGAGGCATGGCCACCACGTGGGTACACTGAAGGCACCTTTCCTCTGCCTCTTGTGATGGGAATGCATTTGCAGGCAAAACTCAAAAAAAAACCCAGCTCCAAACTGAACAACTTGAAACCTTTAATTTTTCAAAAACTGCACTGTAGAAGTTGTCAACTTTCGTCTGTCTGAAGGCATCCAGTCTTGTATCAGCACGAGTAATCATTTAAAATAAAAAGCTGCTGTTCTTCACATTATGTAATGCAGCCTTAGATGTCTGGGGACGCTGGCAGTACACGCACCCTTCTCTTCCCTGTTAAGGATATACTCACCTGAAATTTCAGCAGCCCATTTGAGTTGCCTTACCTGTGCAAAGTACTCCTCAGAGATGCGTCCGGCCCACTCGATGCACTGTTCTATGGGTCTGCACGGGTTGGAAATGTCTGCACACTTTATCAACATGCGCTTGATAAGGATTCGGTTTTCAGGAGATGTGAGGACAGTTTTGATTGACTCTCCATCACCATTATTCTGTAACATTTAAGAGTCAAAGACAATCCATTAGCAAGGTGTCTGTGCACTTACTCAAAAGTTCTGTGCTTTGGGAATGCTTTCAGCAGATCCTACAGGGATCAGTCCGGCTACTGTCAACCATGCTTGATGTCCAACTGAATTTATAGGGGGATTATGCATGTTTGCCACAGCGCTGAACTAGCACTGAACTCCAGTTTCTGGAGTCAGTCACTGTCTTTGTGACAGATCTCTTGGGCATCTTCGGGCAAGTCATCTAATCCCTCTATGCCTCCTTAAAAGTGTGGAGAGGATCCATTCATCACTACACACATAGCGATGAGCACCATGTAGGCAGAAAAATGCAATTCTCTGCTGAAATCCAAGGATTAATGGACTCACACATTAGGAGTGGAATAGCTGGTTTGAAAAAAAAAAGGACTGACCCGAGATGCATGGTCATCCTCTGCACGCAAACCTCATCAGCGTGAGCATCCATCATTCTGACAGCACTGCTACTGTTAGGAGTCAGATCCCACACTGCCGCCCAGGTGAGCTCCTCAGTCCCTGTCCACTGGACCTGTGTTAGCCCATCAGTCTCTGACCTGACTGGGAATTTTGCTTTCTGAGAGCTTATCAGTAGTAAACCAATATATTAGAAACATGCTTCCGAACAGCCTCCTCTTTCCTCTGCATGTCTGGGAAACTTTTCAGCCCACACACAGCTTATATTTGGTTCCCAGGCTGCACATATAAGCACGTCAATGGTACTCTATATTTGGAGCCAGCATACAGCTAACATGAGTAAAGGCCCTGATGATAGAGATTAGAAGCTATTTTCTGTGGAGTTCTGATGAAGCAAGTTTCCGAAGAAGAGAGATTCAGGATTAAAATACCTTTAAAAATAACCTGTAAGTACAAAATTATTACTTGACTCTTTAGGGATGGGCAGGTACAGAAATTTACAACACTGTCTACTCAGAATAGAAACTCTGTGAAGCAAGGAATACACTGGACTTCTCTGGCACCTAACAGGGTCTTGGTCTATAGTCAGAGCAGTGGAGAAGTAACAGTAACATTAATAATGATAATGTGTCACCAGTTCCTGCAGTATTTTGTAAGAAGAGGGAGATCTGAAGCATACAAAGCAGCAGAAACGTTCTGACCTTTTATTAGGACACATTTTTCAGAAGAAAGTTCTTGAGGGGAAGAAAATTCTTCCTAAAGGAAGAAACTGATGATGATAAAAAAGTATTATTTGGTAGTATACTGTCTCAGAAACACCGGCTCCGCAGTTCTCACCAAAATGAGACTCCCAAACCAACTCTTTTCCCTCATTTTTAGGTAAGTGGAAAGGAAAATACAGAGGCAACAAAGTGAGGTGCGTGTATCTCCAAATGCATGGCAAAATTACATGAGAAAGGAAAAATAAAGTGATGGAAGCTCCAGAAACACAAGCATGGAAATTAAGCATGGAAAATTATTCGAGATCATTCAGTTAAGGATAGTAGAGAATTTCCTAGTAGGTAACCACCAGGAATCAAGAAAGGATGTTCGCTTCTGTGATCTGTTCGAACCCAGGGCACAGTTCTCCTTGCTGGATGCGGATGTCTTGGGAATAAAATGTGCTAACTGTGCTTAGTCCCAGCATCCTGCTCAGAGTGCAGAGGTGTCTCCGCATGTCAGATGTTGGCTTCCTGTCACAGGCTTAGGTGACATCATGAAGGGAAATGGGAGGATAAAGGATGCTGGAGCTGGAAAGGATTTTTTTCAGTTTATGAAACAAAAGAAGAAAGGAAACAAACAGAGCAGCTTCTCAGCATGGCTCTTTGAAAAAATATGTTTAAAAATAATAAATAAAAAAAAATAAGTGGAACTGTCCCATTTGAAACACATGGTTGGCAGCTCAGCCTGCAAGCACTACACTGAGTCACCACCATGACTGGAAACCAGGCCAGGAAACACACACTGCCACTGCAACCAGATATACAACCAGACCTGACAGAGGATCTGCCAGTGTTGTTCTGCTGGTAACAAGCACAGCAAATGATTTGGTTTACCCACTCGCACATTGCAGGCCTTTTAATTTTTTTTTCTCAACCAAAAAGAAGGGAAGCATTTTGCTTCTTGTGTTCAATAAAAACTATATAGCCTTCGTCTGTCTTCCCATCTTAGGGAAGAATTTTCTGTGAATTGGAAACGCCTTGTGGGGGAGATTATTTCCCTGCAGCTCCTGGGGCTCAAGGGCAGAACTGAACTTCTGTTTGATTCTGTATGTCACTGCATTTGTTTTTCCTGCCTGACTTTACAGGTCCAAGTCCCGTTCTCCAGCAGCAACAGGCAAGAAGAGGAGTTTGGTGCTCTGGATGGATGCTGCTGCTCAAAAAACTGCTGTATCCCAGTTCTTTGGGCTGGGAGGAGGGAGACTGCACACTGAGCCAGGCCAGTACAGAGCCCTCCAGCAGGACCAGAGTTACACACTCCACAAGGGCAGCCGGTGCGGTGCACTACACCCAGCAGCAGCTTCCTTGTTCTCCTCCACATCTCCTCCCCTCCTGTGCCGAATGCTGCTATGCCTACCCAGAGAGGCTGTCCAACTGCATCCCTGCAGATTTCCAAGAGCTAGAAAGGCAAGCTGTTTCTCAGGAGTACTGAGAGAACGGCTCCTCTAGCGAGCCTACATGCCAGACTCCACTGGTGGGTGAGCAGTGACGCAGTATGGTAGCACTGGGATGAGTAAAGGAGCTGCCATCAGGCAGCTCCTTTATCTGCAGACTACCATGTGCAGACAGCGAAGTGCCCTGGCTTTTCCTGGCTAGCTCACTTGCTTGTAATCTACTAAGAACTGCTCCCCCTTCTTTTCTTCTTGTTTGTTACAACCACAGAACTGAGCAGAGAAATGTTTAGCCTCACAATTTTCCATCCGTTTTGCTGGCCTTATGTTTCCATTAAAATATTCTGAAACAAACAAATACCTATCAGGCATTCAAATAAATGCAAAATAAAATTGTTCTAAGCAAAACTGGTTCTGTGGAAAATTCCACAATCATAAATTAATACATCTATATGTTTGAAAAAGGTCTACAACGAAACAGCTCGATCATCTGCAGCTATGGTTGTGGGCTAGCCTGCGGGCTGATGCTTCACATTAAAAGATTTTTTATATAATACTGTTCATAACTGCCAATTTAAATTGTTTGGTTGAAGTTTCCCCACCAGGTGCCTGCCTCAGGCAAAGAATTTTCCCCCTGAAAATTGCAGTTAAAAATGTTTTGGTGGCTTCTAAATATGAGGTTGGGGGAAATAAGCTCTTCACGCTGATGTTAAAAATTACTGCTGGTTTTTTTTCTAATACCCTCAAATCTTTATGAGTGAGGACCTGGAATTCAGTTGGAGGGATGGTTTTGGGGTAGACCAGTCACCACTCCTGTGAAAATCTGCCGGACAAGTTACAAACGTTGAAGAAAAAAGCTGTGGTTTGTGTAGACTCAACAGGGATTGCTGGAGCCCGGGACTCTCCCTGCAACCGTAGCTTTTGGCTCTGCTGGACCAGGCATGGTCCAGGCCCCAGTTTTGTAGCTAAGATCAGGAGCCTGTCTCTCCTGGACTTGCAGTAAACAAAACCTGCAGAAAAAAACAGCAGCAGGGAAGAGGAGGTTGTTGCCTGATTTGAATGCAAAAAGGGTGAAGAGAAGTAGTAGAGTGGCACAAAAGTCCTGGGAATTGTGAAGGAGAGAGGAGCCTGGCAAGCAGACAGAACTGCAAGAGGGGAAGAAGGCTGAAAAAGGAGGGACTTGTTGAGTGAGGAAGCTAGTGCTGGAAAACAGAGGAGGAAGAGAGGCAGAGCTGGTGAGAAGCCAAGCAGTGCAATGGTGGGTGAGAAGCGAAAACGGCACGACAAGACAGTGGGCAGTGAAGGGGCTCTGAAGTCAGAGCAAAGCGAGTGAAAAACAGAATCTGATGATACAGGTGAGCCGACTGCATCATAACACGTGCATATAAATGGAGCCATCAGGTTGAAGAGATGGTGGTAGTCCCATCACTAGGTAGCCTTTGACAACTTTACCGTTTAAACCTGGTTTTTCTCACCATCCTTCCCTTATTTGCAATACGTAGAAGACCAACTGTGCTAAGCCTTTGTTACGGCTTAGCTATTAAATGATCAATCTGAGGACAAACGTGTCCACAAACGTGCATTGAACAGGCACTTGCAACAAAGTGTAGATATGTCCTGGGCAGTGAACTTTGCAATTACACAAGGTTCCATACAGCACCCACAAAAATCAACAGTATTAGTCTGTCTGTGACTTTAGGCAACATTCTGCAACATCGAGGCTGCCTGGGAAAAATACTTTGTAGCCACAGACTTAATGGCCTTTCCCCTAGTTTGGTCAGTAAAACCAGGATCCTACTGGGACTCTGGCTTCACATTCACTTAGGTCTCATCAGCATCACTAGGTGCCAAGAACAAAGCTGATTCTAGCATATACTCCCGTGGACAAAGGTAGTCTCCTCCAGTTAAGCTCCAGTCTGCTACTGATGGGCGAAGGAACAAGACCTGTTCCTCTCCTGCCTTCAGGTAATAAAAAGACTGCCCTCCCCCATTACACACAACAGTCATAAATGTGGCTTTCTAAAAGACATGGTAAGAAAACACGGAAAACCATTATAGCTCCTACAGGACATTGCCACCAATGCAAACTTTATCACAGCCATTTCTGAAAATCTTCTCTTAGCAAAAAACCATTCCAACAAAATTATACACTACTCTTACTGGCAACAAAACTGCTGGTTGAAGCTGTTATTGAAACTGGTGTGGTTTTTCAGAATGAGTTCTTAACAGGCAATTTCACTGTGTCCATGGGGTTCCAGATGGCTATTGATTATGTCTATATGATACATAATGCCACCGTCATCTATTTTGAAGATTAAAAAAGAAAGTAGACGGAAAACCCATGAATGCTGCCAGGCAGCGCTGAAGGCTGAGGGCCCTGGTTTCCAGGGAATGCACCATATGGCAGTCAATATATCTGCCCTTATGCTGCACCCACCACCAGCAGTTCTCGTTGTGAAGGAAGGAGTAATTCAGCTGCTGCTCTGAGGCAAATCCCGGCTCCTTTGCAGAAATGGCCAACAACAATGCCAAGCCTTGCCACTAGCACTCTCTCCATGGGAGTGACTGGGTTCATCAAAATGGCATTTTTAACAGGAAAATATACAGTGCAAGGTGCTGGTCTCAAGTACAACATCATAGCACTGCAATCTTAAGATCCAAGCGAGTCTCACTCTTAAAACATGTGATGACCATGTTCAGCAGATGGGCATTCAAACCCAGAGGGTGAAAGACACATTTCTAGTCTCTCTTTCTCCACGTTTCTGATCAACTTTCTCAGGATACCATGTGGGAATTTCCTATTGCCAAAGGTTCCCAGGCCCTGCCTAGTCATTTTAAGGAGGACTTGCAGTGTTGCTTACCCCATTTTCTTCTAGCGCTGCCAAGGGTTTATTAATGCTGTTGACAAACTTGTTGACATGCTCAAAGTGCTTTGTCATTTCTGTTGCTAAGACCATGTCAATAATGGCTTGGCGAAGGGTTCGATACTCATTCCTGTTTAAAGAAGGAAACAATTAAGATTGCTGGCTGGTTCACAAAGGGCTGCTTGCTAAAACAAGTCTAACAAAAATGCTAGACCATTTCTGTTGAGAAGAGGTGCTGGGGAAGAAAGAACAGTAATAAAGGCTTGGGAAGCTGCATCTATGTTGGATGAAGTACCCTTTGATGTACAGAGACATATGTGCTAGAGGCAGGACTGGATCTCTAGAAGAAACAGTGCAAGAGCTGGACAGAAGCAGCAACACTAGCTACTCAGGAGGGGTGCCAGGACACACCACACCGGCGTGTTCCCAAGGCTTTTAGAACAGTAACTCTGCAGTAGGTCATGCTCCAGCCAAGTTTTCATCAATACTTTTCTGCTGTACTTTGAGAGGGCCAAGGCAATGGTCACATTCTCAAGCCTTTCTAGGGTTGCAGGAAGAACAAGTCCTTCACAATCCTTCCCGTTGCAACAAGGCATTGAAATTTTGACTGATGCTCTGTGACTCTTTCTAGCCTTGTTATACTCAGTAAACATCTACCCATTCAGCCACAGCTTGTCCTCTACGTCCAATGATACAAGATTATTCTTCTAGACTTGCTAACAATAGTATTTACACTAAGTTCCTCAGATAGGGTCTGCCTTTTTATCCATAGGAGGAACTGAAACCATGGGATTACTCCTAAGTCTGTGCAAGACAGGCAGGAGCACTCTACTGTTTTAGAAACAAACTTCTACAAGGGCTACAGACAATTATCCACAAGGCACTCCCTCTCCTCTAGGGTGTCTGTCTGCATTACCTTACGCTATACATAAGAAAGTGATAGATGTTAGTGGGCAGACAAGGACCCTGAGTTTTAAGCTTACCTCTCCATGTTCTTAAATATATTGCATTTGTCATCCCGGGTGGTGAGCTGGAAAGCCAGGGCAGCATGGTGGCTCTCCAGCACTGCGGTGTCATTGTAGAGGATTGCTAGCTCACTGCCAGCATTGCACAGGAAAGAATTTGTTCTTCCTGGGTGATCCACGTCATGGACTGTGGCAGCAATGAGCGCAGCTACCTCATCGATCGGATCCAAAGTTTGCTGAAAATAGAAGGATGCTTAGTTTTCCTGGCAGACTCACTAGAAACCCTACTCTGTCCATAAGATTAAGCCAAGTTGCTGAGGAATAAAAGCCAGAACTTTGCAGATCATTAAGGGTCAGATGTTCTAGACATAGCGATGGAAAATTCATTATAAGCTTCATTGAACACTGCATAACTTTTTTGGCCATTTTGTGCCTCTTGAATTTCGCCTTAGCCACACTTTTGACAAAGTACATCAAATTTAACAAATGCAAAGTAAAAAATTACTTTGTGTTTTCTAGCAACACAGAAACCACCTTCACTTGACATTAGGGTATTTAGTTTGGGAAAAAAAAGACCAATACTGCTAAAATTTATTCTATTTCCACCAGAGCCCTTAATTTCTGTTGGAAACTTAATGTGTCCTAAACACATTCCACTTACGTGCTGGCTAGGTTTACAATTTATAAGACATGTTTCCCATATATCCAGTTCTATAATAAGAGTGTCCTGGGGCTACAGCTAATATTAATTCCATGAAGAATACTTGATGGCTTACATCCATGGAAAAATTACATGACACACTGTTCTATACTTTCTGTATCAGATTCTGATTCTCTTAGCATGTTGCACTCCATGCTCTATGTCTACTTACATTGGTCATCGCTTTATGTCTAATTATATCTACCTCATAAAGGCTTATTTGGTTTTTAAGGTTTTATACTGAAGTTTTAATACTGCATTAATAGCATCAAAGAGAAAAAGAACCAAGCATCTCAGAAATACATTGCATACATTTGGAAACTAACCTTTATGCTGTGTTTATGCTGGCTTTTTGTGAAGGATCACAGATACAAAACAATTGTGTTATAAAATTTAATAAAATGAAAGAGATGAGCAGAAATGTTCCCAGTTGAATCTGGGAGCACAACAGATAATTTACAATCCAATTAGCTTGAATTTAAGGTCCAAATTTTCTACTGGCTTTGACAGCACCATTCAGAATGGTTAGACTTGGTAGGTGAAAAGACAGTCCCTACCCTACTTTACACCTCCTGAAATTACTGCAGTGACTTGACTTTGATGGAGCTAGGCTATTATTCATTGAGGACTGTCAAGAGGGTCTTGTAGAGGACAAGAAAAGAAAAGGAATTATTTCTGCACTAGATTCATTGTTAGCATTGTCCAAAACACTGCCATGTGTTAGCCTCCTCCTTCTTTCTTTCAGCTGCTGCTCCTGGGATTCTATTTTTGCGGTGTGAAGTTAGGAGAGAGTGATTTTTAGAACAGGCTCTCCTCAGAGGGACACACTGACCAGTGCTCAGTCTGGCTGAGAAAGACCTGCTCAGATGGAAAGTGCCCTGAAACCGGAGAACAGTTAACCTGTAGGACCACAGCAGTGTATCTGATGTTTAATTCCTGAGTCTGACACAACAAACTTTGCAGGGATTTACGGCACCTTTACCCCTAACTTCACATAATGGATTCTAACTCTGTCATCTTAACTCCTGTGGCATGGAAGTGGTAATGATTTTGAAAATATCGCTTCTATTTGGGAACCAGAAAAATTTCCCAGGCAAAAACCAAGTTCAATTTTCTGAAACAAAGTCTTCTCAGTGCAGAATTTGGCCACTGGTATTTAGGCTGTGTTGAACTCTGGACAACACAAAAGCAGCTGGGCTGTATCTTTGAAAAGATAAAGAGAGACTTTTGAACTCTGATTCTGCTCCTTCTGCTGCCACTTTTTTTCCTCTTCCTATGCCTACAGAGGAATGGAAATAACATTCTGGAAAAGGAGGAGGCAGTCATGCTTCTGTGGCATTGAAATGAGTCCAGATCTTGTTTGTTTTTCATAGATATTCTTGGGAAGACCAGCTAAACCTCTGGCAAATCAAGGGCTCAAAATATCCAGTGAAGTTCTGTTCCCACTTGGCATACAGTATTTGTAAGTCAGCCTCTGGAGACCACACTAATGAGCTGCAGCTCCATGTTAAGGGACTTACTACTGTTTTAATGAGCTGTCGGGAGCTTGTTTACAGTCACAAATATCTGAGCCAGGTGTCCATAGCACTATCCATAGGCAGGGTAGGAATTTCTATCCAAAAATGCAACTCAGAAATACGTACTTCCACTTCACTACATACACATGCAAGCACTGCTTTAGTTCCCCTTCTCCAGTCTGCCCTCCGGGCATGTGAGGACAAAGGCTGCTCTGATTCACTCTGGTTGTCAGTGGTCCTAACACGCCAGTGGGTGCTATGGTACAAGAAACCTCGACAAGCAATCTTTTTCAATACTCTCCTGCAATGCAGTCTCTTTAAGTCTCAGGGCATCTTGTCCAGAGGTTGATACAGCCTTGGAAGCACTAAACCTATTTTTAACCTACATTGTCCTGGAAGTCTTCTGCAAATGCCTATCACAAGGCATAGGAGATGGTGATTTATTACATTAAATCTGTATTTGGCATGTACCATCACAAAAATAATTGTGTCATTGGCTCACCTATCTGAGAACGTTTAACAATACAAAGAAATTTTGTTTTAAAAGGAGGTTTTCTTATTCTTCCATTAAGAATAGCTCAATTCCTGTAATACCGGTATCCATCCTCTCATACATACTGTAAGAGAGATCCTAGAACTCATGTAAAGCAGCCCAGTTCTTTGACCCCAGAGTTACCAAACTAGTTGGCACTAACTAGACATTTGGCTCTTGGCATCTTTTTTTTGAGAGATCTTTCTTCGATTGCACTTGTACTTCTCACCTACACTGTTCCTTATAAATGTGGACTCACCTTTACTCTTTCTTTAGACAAAAAATAAGCAGTGGCATGTAGTACATCTGCTGAATGAGTAGAATTATGGTAGGAGTTGGAGGAATGGTAGTTAGCTTCAATAACTTGTAGCCATGACCTCAGAGTTGTTTCTGAACAGTTTAGGAATTCACAGATTCCAAAGCGAGCAAATATTTTGAGACCCAGATAAACCAAAGGCCTGTGGAGAAATATAAACACAAAGTTTTAAAACAAATGAGGTTGAAAGACTATCACAGAGCAGCAAGAGCTAGTCCACTAGCCTTTTTTCGAACCCAGTTAATATCGCTGTTTTCTTGTCCAATACATTTTTTTGCTTAAGAAGAACAGGTATAGTGGTAAATATTTTCAAATGTGGAATCTTAAAAAGAGATCTTAAGCCCTTATTTTGCCATCTCACTGCTGCTTGATTCCAGATGCATCAAGCACCCCAATTTCTAGCTGCACCTGATGGATGTGGTGAGGCCGTTAGGAGTTGTTGAGATCATTTAGAGTTCTATGTGACACTAAGTTGGGAGGGAGTGTTGATCT